GGCAAACTTGAGTAGACGGTAGGCTTGAATGTATCAAACCTATATTTCCATATTAATGTATAATATGCATTGATCTGTAGTGATCAATTGCATATCAATGAGCACCTCAGCGCTAGTTGAGATAGCTTTGATAAAATAGCTATACCTCCTCAACTAACCAAAATCGCCCGACAAGATGTATATTTTCTTAAATGCAAGAGGTCATGAACCACAATCGTACGGTCAGTTCGTCGGNTATAGTATGCATTGATCTGTGGTGATCAATTGCATATCAATGAGCACCTCAGCGCTTGTTGAGATAGCTTTGATAAAATAGCTATACCTCCGCAACTAACCAAAATCGCCCGGCAAAATATATATTTTCCTGAATGCAGAGATTCTGCTTGATCGAATGGTGTGAAGAAATTGATATGTTACTGTTCAAAGGTGAGGGTACGGTAGGTTTGAATGTGCCAACCCCTATTGCATCAGGAAAATACCTTTATTTCCTCACAGAGGCAGAATTTCTCGGCGATTTTTCATTTTTAGAAAGCAGGGAATCTGCTTAATCGAACGATGTACAAACATTATTATGTTACGGGGCAAACTTGAGTAGACGGTAGGCTTGAATGTATCAAACCTATATTTCCATTTTAATGTATAATATGCATTGATCTGTAGTGATGAATTGCATATTAATGAGCACCTCAGCGCTAGTTGAGATGGCTTTAATAAAATACCTATACCTCCTGAATGAACCAAAATCGCCCGACAAGATGTATATTTTCTTAAATGCAAGAGGTCATGAACCACAATCGTACGGTCAGTTCGTCGGCAATAACCCATGCGGTCAGCGATGCGGCAGCAAACGATTACGCATCCGCAATCGAAACACTCGTAACGGCCATCTCGCTGATCAGACAATGTCGCGTCGCCAATGACGATCGTTGCAATGTACTCATCTCGTCTCTGCAGGTAATCATGCACCTTCCCACTCATCCCTTAAAGAGATTCATTTGTATATGTTTGTTTGTGACTGAAGGATACGCTGAATGGTATCGAGAGTAAATCCTACAACTCGTCGTTGTCGTCCTCTTGCAAACATTGCTCAGCACGCGATGGATCCCGTTCGCCATCCGAACGCTCTCGAAAACGTCATCAACGTGCATCGAGAAGTCAGTCGAGATCTCGCGAACGTTACGACTACTCGCCGAGACATTCGTCTTCGTCGAATCGTCGTCAGTACTGATCTTTAATCGCATTCTATCAACAAGCCTGTTCCACATTATCAATGCTTCTACATTCTCATCATTTTCGTTATTTTTCACCAACATCATTTCGACACTTTGTTCACAAGATGATTCAGTCTGAAACATTTCATCATGTATTATTTTCCTTCTACATCACCAATCAACTTCACCATTCATCAACTATGTAAAAGGTACAGTTTTAATATATTTTCTTGTTGTTCTTTTCGTTTATATTTTTCACTTTTTTGATCCATCAACTCTACGGTTAGTTGTTTTGGAGTATTTATATTTCAGTTGTTATAATTAGGAAGGGCAATAATATTTTCACATCGAGAGATTGAGTGAATCCAATGAAATGGGAAGTCTTGCAACGGAACAGAGATGTTATTGGGTGCTTGGCTTTTTTGACGTATTTTTATCAATGAAATCGAACGTGAAAAATTAACGATGTGATTGTATTGTAGTTTCATCTGCAACAAAAATTGGGGTGTGTGATGATTTTGGTTACTTATCGGGAAGAATAGCGCACTAAT